AATAATAATAATAATAATAATAATAATAATAATAATAATAATAATAAGCCTTGTTGAGTTTCACAGGTACCAGACACTGTTCTAAGTATTCTGTGACTAACTTAAGGAACTCTTATATTGGAATCTTTTAAACAAGTTTCCAAAAAGAATCATTCATTTCATAAAGTGATATGAATGTTCAGACTTACTTAACTTTGAGACAACCGTTACTCTTCCTCATAAGTGATAGTATTCCACCAAATGAAAAACTACCTACAATTAAGGAATAAATCACTGGCATAGAAATAAAATGTCCTTGTATATTATAATTATACAGTAAGTATAAATTCATCAAATGCATGCTTGGAACATAAGAGGTTTATAAGTTTATGTAACTTCCAGAAGAAGCACACAAACGTGAAAGCAAAACAATGACATAGCATTATATTAAAGCTTTTGGCCCTGCCCAAACACCAGTGTTAACAAAAGCCTCCTCATCTCCCATTACAGGAACAGTGTTAAGGAGTAAATTACATTCTCCAATTTTCACATATTGAAATCAAAGCACTTGAGAAATTTTTACATGACCACCCTCTTGTTTTGGGAGAAAAAAAAGAGTAGAAGGCTCTTGAACTTCCTTCATGTGACTGCCCTCTGGCTCTGGATGAGGAACAGAAATGCATGGCCTCTTAGCAGTGAAAATTCAAAGGGTAGAATAAAATAGGCTTCCAGGAAATTCCTAGGATGCCTGCCGTGATTCTCCCACAATGTGGTCAGGGATACAGGCCATGTCTAATGAAGAAAGAATTCTAGTAGGGAACAGAAATAAAAAGAACAGAGAGGGTGTGGTCTTCACATATTCCAGCAAGTAAGAGAACACAGAATTTGCCTCATCTCAACCTTATTCCCCAAAGTTCTAGACTGCAACACACTGTCTAGAAGAACAAACGCACAACACCAACGCGATAGCATACCAGACCTCAAAACCAATCAAGAGAGTGATTAGTCATCCTCATAAACAATGTTGCCACTAGTGAACTAGTGGGTCCTTCTTGCCTGGCAAGTTGGTATTGTAGCAGGCAGGATCTAGTACCAAATAAAACTACTGCTGTCCTTTCTCCCCCAGAAGCCTACATAGCACCATATAGTACTGTGAATACTAGTCAGACAGGAGAGAGTTTCCTTGTAATTCAAAACTATTTTTTCTTTCCATTAGCTAAAATAAAAGGCATATTCAGCAATAGGATCTTCGCCTCAAGTGTTGATGGGCAACCAAGAATAAGGCAGCAACCTGTGTTATTTTAATGTTTCCCTGAACGATCACTTACATAAAGGTAAGCCATAGTGACATGATGTTTTTCATGTAATAACATATCTTCTAGCATGTACACAGATGAGAAGTACTGCTTTTCAAACTCACTTTAGTTCTAGAAAATTAGTATTTTACTTATTTACAAACTAGTAAAATTTCATAAGCTTTTTCCATACATCCTTAATTCTGCTTAATTCACCACCTTCTGGTCTTCCTTTTGTCCTGTGTCCTGTGCTCATCTCCACATAAATTTTTAGCTCAAAGTATGCTCTTCTTTCATATCACTTCTTGTACTATGAGCTCTTACTAAATGTTTTACTGGTTTTGCAAGATCACATACATTTCATTTTGGTTCAGCCTTCCCCGGTCCCTCATTTCTCCATTCTCAGTGTTCCACTATCCACTAGAACCCTTCTTTCTCAGCATTGCCCCTCTTTACTTTCATTTCAGCTCTATTCTAAAAATTTCTGCTTCCCAAAGTCATTTTTTTTCTGACTTGTTTCTAGTTTCCTGGATTCCATATACTCCAGGTTCAAAATAATTTGAAGCTAAGAATCCACATACAAAAAAGAATACATGGTCTTCATTATTAGGGACCTGGGTCACCTTACTCAGTACATTTATTTTTTTCATTTCTATACTTTTTATGCATAGTCAATGAGCTTAGATTTCTTTATAGTTGAATAATATTTCACTGTGTATGTGGGTTTGCAGCCTGCTTCACAGGAGAGAATTCATGCCAGGTACTGTAAGCGTGTTCAAATCCCGTGGTTAGGGAATTCACTGGACCTAGAGGAGCACCTACTAAAACTGTTTTTTCCAAATGGTCATGTTGTCAAATTGTCTTCTAAATGCGTATGGCTATGTTAGTCAACCTGTGATGCGCCTCATCTTGGTTACAGGTGCTTTCTATTGCAGTGGCAATAAGTTAATCCAGAGACTCATTATCTAAGAATGAACGATCGATCATGAGTGCTCAGCCACAGGCAGGACCTCTGTATCAGCTCTTTCCTGCATATGTCTCAGGGAACATCATGGAAGATGGGGTGGTGCTGCGGGAGTATCTTCCACTGCTTCAGCCAATAGTCACTGAAGCACGAGCCCACGGTGCTGTGGGAGCGCCTTCTGCTCCATCAGCCAATAGCCGCTGAAATACCAGCCCACTGGGGCGTGGTATATTTCTCTTTTAAAAAGAGCCACAGAGATCGGCTGGGGTCTCTTGGTTCCGGCACTTGGTCCCGGCTCCTGCTCCAGCAACCAGGCTCCCTTCCTGACGGTTTATGGTGTATGTAAGTTTTACCCCCCAAAATAAATAATCCCTTATAACATAACTGGTGTGGGATTGATTCGCCGTTAGGGTGGAAAAAACCAGAGGATGAGGAGAAAGGCTGCACCTTGCTGTCTTGGATCTACATGATGTGGCTGCTTTTTACGGGAACTCTAGGCAGCTGTGCTAACCTGCACAAGTCAAGCCAGTTAAAATTTCTAGCACTAGGTGGGGAAGAGCTCCTTAGGCCCCAATCCTACCTGAAGAGCATTATAGTTAATTGATGCTGCAGGAGAAAGAATCACTTTTCTTTATGGGTTGATCACTAGTACGTTAGCCATGTCTCGTGGATGATTCCACACACGGGGGAAGCACGAATTGGACTTAGTGGGGTTTTTTTTCTAAAGTAATTTAAAAAGGAGGACGTGAAATTGAGAGGGAGATGTAATGGGGATCCTCGAAAGTGTAGTAGTGAGAGACTGAGGAACGGATACGACACACAGGATTAATTAACACATGTGAGCACATGGGATCTTTCCCCAAGAATACCATTTTCCATAAATAGAACAAAGTGCATTGGTACCTGGGCTATGCTGGGACACATGCTTACCAGTGTCCTACTGACCTCATGAGTCTTAAAGTGTGCTAAGATCACACCATACCCTACACATTGACTTCTGCTCATTCAAAAATAAAACATTTGCTTTTGTTATAGTAAAGAGTATCTTATGGTTTATTCTACACATGATAAGGCAGAGTGAGACATTGTCTGAGGGGAAGGAGAGAGCAGCAGGAGAGAGGTACAAATGAGAATAAAGCATAAAGACATAAGAATTTGAGAAAAAACAAGGAAGGAGTACATGGGAAGAGCTGAAGAGAGGAAAGGAAAGAGAGAAATGATGTAATTATATTTTAATTTAAACTAAAAATAACTTATTAAAATATGTGAGCCCAAGGCTGGAAAGAAGCTGTGAGCTAGCCCTTGAGTAATCATTTAACTAATTACAATTGCAAAGAACCACAGCAGCATTTAGGAAACATACCCTATCTGGTTCACAGAAGTTGCAAGAACAATTTTTGGAAAGTACTTGACTTCTTGCTCACAGGGACACCCACTGAGACATGGACCCGCTGTTTCAAACAATATCTGTGCACAGACTCAGCCCATCCTAACCCTCAGTACCTCTTCCATCAAAGAAGCACAGCAAGAGTTGAGGAGCTGCCTGATCCTTGTGCACTGAGGTTCAGTGTATGTCTCCCATACACTGCAGCACTTTCCTATTGACATAGAACATGGGAGAAATGGAGTATACTTTATTAAAAAAGAGATATCTTTGAAAATAAATGTGTCTTTTTATTCTGCCTATGTGTGAGGCCAATGGACAGCATTTATTAGACACTCTAGCAAAGTGCTGAATGAGTTCTCTGCATAGTTACCAAGCTTCTGGCATGAGAGATATCCATGGGTACTTTAAATGAAGTATGCATTTTCTAAGATGATCTTTCCAGTGGTAAATGCTTGCTAAATGACACCTTAGCTTCTGAGGTTAAGTAGGCAAACTAGTAACTGCACACTTTCTGACTACGCAAGCAGAAATAACTGTTGGGTTTGGTCTAGAACAGAAGACATGAGTCACCTGCACAGATGCTACCTTTTCCAAAGGGCTTTCTACTCGAGGAATGTTGATCATCGGCATCCGGGCCACACTGTCCCTGTGCATGTGCCCATTTTCTGGTTGTCTTCCTTTGAAATTATTTACCACGCACACAACCTAAAATTTCAGGAAACAATTGCCGTTAAGTAAGTCATGCATCCTGCAACTATCAACATTCTGAGAAGTTTAATAACACTCCTTATAGCAACCAAGATTTAAAATTACCTAAGTGTTATACGAATAAAACTTTACATCCAGATTTACGATGAATAAATTTGAATAGTTATTCCAATTCAGATAGGTTCAAGAAAATTTACCGATGAATATGTATCAGAATGAATCATGACAATTCTGCTATTCCAAATGTTCTTTAATGTATAGACACTATTCAATCCGATCCAAAATTAACACCATAACCTTATAAAAAACTCACAGCAAGCTAACCTCTCCCTAATGTGACTAACCTACAACTTAATTTTCATTCTTCTTGTTTCTCACTACGTCAAGATTATTACATTCACACTAATCCTTGACAGTTGGCACTCTCTAATTTAATAATATCCATTTAATTATACTGGTCTATTGTCTATTGTGTCTCATATATATGTAAGAATTGAACAATAGCTTACCAAAGCGACTACTGAAACAGAAGACCCTTCACATAAAGGAAATTGACCTTCATTTTAACTGATTCTATTCTAGAGGTGAAAGAATGTGAACCAAAGCATGCATGAAAATTAAGTTCTTGCAATGCTAAAAATACACCTTCCTAACTCATATCCTCAAGTTTCAGATGTAGTAGGTGAAAAATAGGGTATAGAAGACAGAACATTTAAATGCATTCCAGAAGTTTCTGTATCAGGTGAATCATATTTAAGGAATAATAATTTAAGCCACACAGAAAAATTATTTTTTATGTTGACTTTATACTAACCACTGGGTAATATGTTTGTTTTTAACCTGGGCTCTATATTCTAGAATAAATAGGACTTATCTATAGTTCCAACCTGATACTCATTCTAAATTATGCAAATGCTATCTCCATAATGATATGTTTAAATTTTTTTCATAAATTCGTTATTAGAAGATTTTTGTTAAACTTATTAATTAATGTTCATTTTGTTTCTAAAATTGTTTAAAAATTTATTCTATTTTTTGTGTATGAGTATGTTGCTTGCATACATGGATGTGTGTCATATACATGCTTATTGCCAAAGAAGGTCAGAAGAGGTCAGATGGCCTGGAACTAGAGCTGCAGGAGATTGTGGGCCAACATGTGAGTGCTGGGAATAAAGCATAGGCCCTCTGCAAGAACAGCCAGTGCTCTTACCACTGAGCCTTCTCTTCAGCTACATTATTGCCAAGTAATTCTAAATACCAATTAAATCTTGGGTGATCCATTCTTGAATAAAATATACAAGTGTGTGAAATAATAACATACACTATGATACTTTATATCACAAAAATTATTTCATTTCAAGCTGTGATTTACTTTTTTTTTAAAAAAACCTTACTGTGTCCTAGAAGAGCTATAGGTTAAAAATATAGATCAAACCCCAAAACTGAAATACCACAGCTTTGTGGTATTTAACTTTAAATAGGGGCTTGAAGGCTGTTATTTAGTATGTCTTTTCTCTTATGAAGTTGTCATTTTCATGATCCCACAAAAGACTAAAAGAAATTGATTGCTCAAGAAATAGAGTCAGAATATTTTGCATAGAAAGGGGAGATATTAAATAATGTAGCAAATATTTTTGATGTTGTGGGGTCATAGTCGATGGCAACTACTCAACTCTTCCCTTTTGAAGGGAAAGCAGCAAGTCCATTTGTTCAAAAGAGAAAAGACATGTTGACAGTCTGATAAACTGCACTTACTAAAAGAGGCAGCAGATCAAATTTGGTCTGAAGGCTGAAATTGATGAATGAGCGCTGTTCTAACACACAAAGGATAGATTTGATAACTTTGGGTAACAACTTCAATGAAACAAAGAGTTTCATATCCATATCATAACACACACACTTTCAGAAATCACTCTCCTAGCATATGTTCAGGAAAGATCTCTTACTTCAACTCAGAGTTCACTAAATCCACTAGTCTATCTACACAGCTTGTCTAAAAGGTGTCTTTCTCAGCATTCCATGTGCTGGGATTACAGACATGCACATGACTCTCTGAGCATTTTCATGGTTTCTGGAAATCAGAACTTCTCACGTGTGCACCAAGTGCTTCTAGCTTTGCCATGGATGTCTCCCCTGAGCCATAGACTTGGCAAGCTCACTGTTTCAAAGAGTTTGTCTTCCCTATGCTCACACAGAACTCTGAATCTTTCTGTCAGAGTAGCAGTCTCAGTATGACATTTCATAGGGGCTAAGAAAGTACATTGACTCATGTCTCATCTAAGACACAAATCGGGAACCCCATCTGAAGGCTGCTGCCTTTGTACCCCACCTGTCACAGGGAGCGACATCACTACAAATTGTCAAATTGTATGGTGTATATCTTTAATTAAAAGTTAATTTCTGCTGGGTGGTGGTGGCACATGCCTTTAATCCCAGTACTTGGGAGGCAGAGGCAGCCAGATCTCTGTGAGTTCAAAGTCAGCCTGGTTTACAAGAGCTAGTTCCAGTATAGGCTCCAAAGCTACAAAGAGACCCTGTCTCAAAAAGACAAAAAAAACAAAGTTAATTTCCTATCAAACGCTGTGTTTAATATCAATGGCTTCCACTCATAAGTTTACATTCTCCTAAAAAGATTACACTAATTAACCACCACCACACATAGTTTTGGTTTCTCTATGTTGTATTAACAATACATTTTTATGTATTCACTTTTTTCTTTTCATAATTATTACATTATGTACTTTGTGGGGCAAAACAGTATTGGCTCCTGATTTGGTCTCGGTTTTTAATCTGTAAAGTGAGGACGATATATTTCAATAAAATGCTGTAGTGATTATTACTCTTACATAAGCTCACATACAAGCTATTATTGGGATCAACAAAGCTGAACACTTCTGCTTAACAATTCCATCTCTCATGTTTGGGAGAGGTGAGGTTTTTAAGTTATCCATTTTTTGTAACAATAATTATCAGCAACTGCTGCTCAAGAATTAGTTTTGCATTTTGCTAAGCGTGATGATTCTACTCTTTACCCTTGAGCAAAATGTACAGGGGTACAGACAGATTTAGGACACAACGTAATTCCTTGTAAGATTCTAACAGTGCACACTGATACATATAGAAATTAAGGGGGAGCTGAGAAGATATTGACAGTTACAGCCTAGAAAATGTGGGACTTATCTGAGTCAAATCTTAGCAATGTAGAAGACTGGAATATTCGTGTAAGAGCTGGGCATGATAAGCAATGCTACAATGCTATGTTTACTACACATGAGAATTCATTGAGTCTTTTAAAGAGCTCAGGGTAACAAATTTAACAGTTATTCATTTATGCTGCCCATATACAAGACCATATTTCAGATACATGAAAAGATAAGCAGTGAACAAAGCAAACAGAAATATTTCTCCACCATGGCTTATTTGCAAGAGAAATACCTGATGTGGTGTCTAGGAGTTGCAATGTGTTAGTGGGAAACACAAAAAAGGACTAAGGAGAGAAGATGTTCTGAGTGTGGTTTGGGGAAGGTTTCACTGTTTGATGGATAGTGAGCTGTGAGTGTTGTGTGTGGGGTCACACACATGCAAAGGCAGAACTCAGATATCCTTTTTTCTCACTTGCAACTGAAATATACAAAAGAAGGGGCATTCCCCCAGAACATATGTGTAGGAAGGGCAGCCTTGTTTTTGACAAGGGAAGAGGGTTGATTGTGATTCCATGAGTTGGATTCATGTACACAGTGAAAAGTGCAGGATACTTTTCACTAGCAAGTAAGCCATCAGATCGTCGTGGACCCTGGAAGTGCAGTAGAATGACTGGAGGTGAGGCATCAGGGAAGGTTTGTTTTGCCTTGTTATTGACAATGCATTATTGCAATAATTGCAATGCAGGCCAAACCAGCAAGGTGATGGTGTGAGGGATATCTGTAGGAGTACATGGGAAAGGAAGCACACAGTTCTGGTTAGAAGGACTGATATAAGACACAGAAGGAATAATTGGGAAGTGGAAATGAACTTGAAGTGGATGAGTCACTGGTTGTTGGGGTTGAAGTGGGAGAATGAGTCAGAGGTAAATGCTAGGTGTAGATAAAGAACAAGACAGCAACTTGGAGTAGACTGATTTAATTTTATTTCGGACTCATTTTAGAATCCTAAAACACTGCAAGATAATTGCAGGACATTTGCAAGCCAGAGTTGGAGTGGCTGCACAAAATTCAAAATAAATGCTCTACTAGATTATTCAAATAAGGAATCTGGGAGTCATCCCAAGTTGCTTCCTGTCCCTCATCCACATCATCTTGTGTTCCCACAGACTCTCTTTCTTCCCTTTCCCTTCCAAAGATTCTCTCTTCTTTCTGTGTCTCTATGGTTCAGTTTAGACTCTGATTTCCCTGGTTCTTCATAACACGTCTCCTCCATCTTCACTGTAGTGTTATGCTAGAGCATATTTTTAAAGCACAGGTCTCAAATGGCAAAAGGTAGTGAGCGGAAGCAAACTACCACTTATGGAAGTGTGCTTTACTAGTTCCCGTGGCCGTTCACTAAGCATGTACTACTTTGCTTAACCTTCTGCAAGTTCAAGAACGAGCCTTCAGGAAGGTTGTGATTGTCCTCATTTAAAGAGGGATACAGGAGCACAGAACGGCTCAATAAAGTACTCGATCGGACAAATTGACTACATGAATAAACTTGGACTCAAACAAGTCCCTTCGATTTCTACTCTTTTGAAGGCAGGGCATACTAACTCACCTACATTTTAAACAAAAGTCCACATTATTCTTCTGGCACACAAAACTTTTCCACGCCTCTAACCTTCATGATGGGAGACTAGTACCATTCCGGGAAGCTGTGCTTTCTCATTCATAAGCTGTGTCCTGGGCCTGTGGTATAAGAGCTCCACGCTCACTGTCTTTATACAGGCTTCCATGTTGTCTCTGTGTCCCATGTTTTGTTATCATTCCTTATGTAGAATCCAGACCTATCCTCTTTATAACCTCCCCAGGTTGATGTTTCACGTCTTCCTAACAGGTCTGGCACCCCAATAAAGTTAATATCTCCAGTACCTATTAGTAAATTATATGTAATCCTTTATAAAGTACAATGACTGTTTTCCTAATGGTTGTCTCTTTTTGTTCTCAAATATTTCTTCACATCTCCAAGTTCAGTATTTGTACTAGAGTAAGAACTTGGCAGCATTTTATTTTATGGTGGAAAACAGGGAAGGAGAGTTTAAGGGAATAGGCTCATCCCCAAACAAAACTCTAGCTCACAGTGGAGACAAGCCATACTCACATGAGCTTCCTTGACTTACCAGTTGTTGCCTATAGGCACTGACATTCGTAAGTGATCATTAATGAGAACGTGATTCATATTTGGCTACATGATTGAAGCACCGTTTTGGTGTGACCTTTTCATGGAGTCATTTTTCTCATGTGTAATAATATTTAAAGGATGATTTCAGAATATGTGTAATATACATTCTTGGATTGAATATGCACAATAGAGGGGCTTGAGCTCAGGGGACTTCACTTATCGAGTTCTCAGCTAGGGACATGTCTGAGATGACACTAGGGTCTGGTTTTACATGATGACTAAGGCACTAAGATGCTCTCCGGTAGGAAGTTTGCAATGGCCACAGGAAGGACAGCAGGAGGCTGATGAAGCTTCAGGGAAGATAATCTACACCTAGGGAGCTGAGTTCCATGCCATCAAATTTCCCTCACTTTTCTGTTTTGTTTTGTTTCTTTTAAATGTTAACCAGTCTCAACTGTGATGAGGGAAAGCAAGGAAAGTTTGTGATCCATGCTTGGCTCTGAGTTTCATGAGGCATCAAGCAGATTCCAAGAGACAGGGGTGTTAAAGGGTAACTTCAGCCTGTCTGTTGCTATATTTGGATGATGAAATTTAGCCAAAAGAGCCTGAAAGACTCAACAGTAAGCAATCTGTTTCTTATCTAGGAGCTTATCTGTAACCAAGCAACTGAATCTCAGCTATTCACATCACCTCAACCTCTAGCCAATCAGAGGCTATGAGCTGCCAGAATCTTTCCATAAAAGGCAAATGCTGACTGGGGTCATCATGTTATTTAGTATCTCTTCCTCTTCCACTGACCTTACCTGTCAACTCACTCTACAGATTTTTTAAAAGAAACTTTTAATCCAGAGTCCTCCAATGATCTTGAGACTCACAGTGAATGGCATCACAAGAGGAAAAAAAAGGGTGGGAGAACAAAGCTCGGGACGCTGAACCGACATGAGATCATGCCCATTAATTTCCTACAGGAGGTTTTAGAGGAAATGCTTCATTTCAAATTCCAAGCATGTGATGTGTACTCAAACCTCACACATGCTTTCATTGCCTACTCATTATTAATTGGACAAAGGAGGCTGAGGAAGGAAGAAGCAAGTATTGTGGAAACAAGTCAAACTGAATGGAAATGGAAGTAAAGTGTTTCTGAAGCTACAAGGTGTCCCTGTAAAAAGGCTTTTGATTATCCACTGTGCACGTGGTCATCTAAGTAAGATGGTAAAAAGCCCCACAAGTAACGGGCTGATAATTTTCAATTTAGGCTGAAATCTTCTATTGAACAAAATTATAGATTAATTCAAGTACATGTTTTAGCAGGCATAAGGGTAGCCCCCATCAAAAGGCTCTGCATGTTCTTCAGTGTGTGAAAGACATGACCGGGGATGCTAGTGTCCCCATCCCAGTCTCTGACGGTTTCAGGACCCCAGGAGAAGTGATGCGTCTCAAAATCCTATGCCGTGGGAACACTGGTGGCGTAGATCTCATGGAGTGCACAGACTGAAGAAGGCATGAGGCACTTGGGTCCAGGAGGATGTTTTCATTCACTAGAGGCAAACTATCCTGAGGAATTTTGTGGATGTATAAACAATGCCATCTACAATACTAACTGAGAAGGGACAGGTGAGATAGCTCGGTGGATAAAGGTACTTTGATGGCCTGACTTTAACTCTCGGACCTCACATGGTAGGAGAGAACTAACTCTCACTAGGTTATCTTTTGGATCTACATAGGCATGCCATGGCACATGTGTTCCCTGCCCCATAAATAAAAAAAAAATGTAAGATGCTATTTGAGGAGGAATGATTTTAGCTCTACTCCATTTTCTATAAAAGTATTTTAAGAGCAGAATTTATTTATTTTTCTTCCTCAAACCTAATCTTAAGAAGAATAAATGCAAGAAAAAAAATGAGCAACCAAAACCATATATATTTCACATAATGTATCACAATGATTCATTCTTGTATTTTCTTAGAAATGATATTCAAGCTTTTTAAAACCAAAAAAATATTTTAAAAATCCTACTTACCAGAAATACTGCTATAGATATTCCAACTAGAAAGCCCGCTATCACATCCGACCAATGATTTCGATATTCTGCTACTCTGTTGAGTCCAGTAAGAAAGGCCAAACACATTAATCCCAAGCATAGAACAGGCTTAGCAAGTCTGGTGCCTTTGGCTTTGATAGTGTTCGTAATGTACATCTGAAATAGCAAATAAAACAAGACTTTTCACGAAGGCATTTTCTTGGTCTACACATGAAATACATTATGTATACATTACAAAAATACAGTTAGCATCTATATATGACTGTGTAGTTTTAATCATTGACTAGAGTTTGTGATTCTTGTATTTTTTTTTTTAAAAATGGTTATTTGCTATTTGGCTACTTAACTCAGGCTGGTTTCCAGCTCCCTACATAACATTATAGGTGTGTGCCATCATACCTATAATGAAGTTTGTGGTGATGATTTCTTAAATGTGGAATTTAAGAGTGCCAATTATTTAACTTTACTTATCAATCATGGCCATTTTTTCACCAATTTTATTTTATCTTTTTAATTGCTTTTATTGAGCTATATATTTTTCTCCTCTCCACTCCCCTGCTACTCTCTCCCATGGTCCCCATGCTCCCGACTTACTCAGGAGATCTTATCTTTTTTCTACTATCCATGTAGATTAGATCCATGTATGTCTCTCTTTGTTGTCTAGGTTCTCTGGGATTGTAAATTGTAGGCTGGCCATTTCTTACTAATTACCATTTAAAAAAATTGTGTGTGTGTGTGTGTGTGTGTGTCCACATGATTGCCAGAGTGTCCTGGATGGAACACAGCCCCTTGACCTGGAGTTACAAGAAGTTGTGAACTGTAGGATGTGGGTGCTGAGAACCAACTCAGCTCCTGTGCAAGAGTGGGGTGTGTTCTTCACTGCAAAACCATCTCTTCAGTCCTATAAGAACCAATTCTTATGCCGTATCATCAGTTACCTGGGAATATGAGCACAGCCATTCCAAGTGTTCTCCTTCCTTCCACTCCGAAAACATTTTATCACACTTTTGTTTCAGCTGAATTTACACATTAGGTAACTCATAACATTACTGTTACAAGGGGTAAATTGATGCTGTATTGATGTTTTCTTTTGTATATTCTGTATGGATAGGATTCATCCTTGGTCAAACCAAAATTATATATAGCTAGAAAACTTAAATGGAGCTTTCTAGCAAATTGATGGGACTGTGAAGATGGTAGTCCAGACAATGAAGAGCCAAGGCTAGTTTTTATATTGTTACCTGGAAACATGAGATAAATGTCAATAAAGAACACACGGTGTCAACTGGTTGTACTGACGGAAATATATCCACATTGTGAGCCAGCATGCCCAAGAATAATTTGGTTCTTCTCCCAATATCACTTATTCTATTGCTTCATTGCTTATAACTTAAGTCACAAATCATTCTGTTAGCAAACCTGTTGACTCCAAGTATATAGTGACAATACTCATGTCAACAATATAGAGAGTGTGAAAGAGGCAGGTTGGAAAGTACACCTAGGCGGTATGGTGTTACTGATAACACATTCAGGAAAATACTTATAGAAGATATAATCTGTATATTATATGTATAATGTTAATTGTTATCTTGAATTAGATAGAAATATATTTGCTTATGAGAGTAGACTAAAAGAGCTGTATCTAAGCTTTTAGTTCATGATGACCATTTTAGAATACTATGATATCCAACAATTATCTTTTTTTCTTAAGACTTTATCTCATTAAATCTTTAAAATCCTATAAAGTGAATACCACTATTAACTTCATTATATAAATTTAAAAAATGGATGAAGATCAAGCTTACTGTAGACCACACAACTTTATTTTGGGGGTGGCACCATTGGCAAAGAAGAAATGGACCTTTTTTTGCTTGTTTGTTTTTGTTTTTTCAAGACAGGGTTTCTCTGTAGCTTTGAAACCTGTCCTGGAACTACCTTGTAGACCAAGCTGGCCTTGAACTCATAGAGATCTGCCTGCCTCTGCCTCCCAAATACTGGGATTAAAGGCGTGTGCCGCCACCACCTGGTGAAGAAATGGAACTTTAAACAAAGAACTTTAGGCATTTCCTGATCATAAGGGATTTAGCAGGTCTTCCTTGCATTTCTTTTTCTTCTCTGAGTTCCTCTGGGGAGAAAATGGCCAAAAGACTTAAACAAAGTTTCAGAAAATGCAAGAAAGCAGGAAGCAAACATGAAAGAATGATGCCACCATAGCATTCTTTTTTTTAATTAATTAATTTATTTATTAAAAATTTTCACCTTCTCCCCACCTCCCTTTTCCCTTCCCCTCCCCACCGCCCCATCCGTCTCTAGTTTTAAGAGCAGTCAGGGTTCCCTGCCCTATGGGAAGTCCAAGGTCCTCCCCCCTCCATCCAGGTCTATATAGGTGAGCATCCAAACAAACCAGGTTCCCACAAAGTCAGTCCATGCAGTAGAATAAAAACCCAGTGACATTGTCCTTGGCTTCTCAGTCAGCCTTCATTGCCAGCCACATTCAGAGTGTCCATTTTGATCACATGCTCCAACACTCCCAGTTCAGCTGGCCTTGGTGAGCTCCCATTAGATCAGTCCCACCATCTCAGTGGGTGGACGCACCCCTCATGATCCTGACTTCCTTCATGTTCTCCCTCCTTCTGCTCCTCATACTATAGCATTCTAAGAGTAACAAAATGCCTGCTCCATCATTAGGGATGGAAAAGATGAAGTACTAAATCTCTACAGAATCTCTGTGGATTTGATAAATACTTGACATCATTCCCCAAGGGACAACTCAGTTACAACTTAACTCTTTACTTGGTCAGTTCATTTGGTCCAAATAAATTATTGACTTGGGCTTGAGCTGTTTCAAGTTTAGTGATGACTCTTTCCTTAATTACCCTACTTACTCTAGAAGGATCACAAGAAGCCCCAAATAGTCTGTCCAGTTTGCAAACTAATGAAACATGCTTCTATTAGAAAGAATTCAAGCTTGTTTTTTTTTCTTCTATTACACCCATGTTAATGTCCAAACCTTGAATGGAGTGTGAAAGGTCACAGGATTGTAGACCTATGAGAATTACAAAAGTTAGCAAGAATTTTATAAGCCATAAATATAGCAATAAGGTTAATCATAGCAATGCTTTATAAAGTACACATATTCTTGAAGTATAATCACCACGAATATAACAAAAGGAAAACTAGAGAATTTTTTATTTAAACTTGGCAACTCTCTAGTACTTTATGACACGAGCCTTTTAAACAGTCTATTTGTTTTATCCTTGCAGAAAGTCTTTTAAAGCTAATCTGCCGAAGGGGAAATAATAGCATAATGATCTAACGAGGAAGCTAGATACAGGACGGTAATTGATTACTTCTGCTTTCTTTGTTTCTAATTCACTTATGAAACCATCTAGGTTAACCAGATGTCAAAATGTAGCTAAAATAAACACAAACAGAAGGTGGGTGTGATTTGAGCAGAATTTTGTTCCCTCTATCCTCAAGGGTCTGTGGATGCTAAAAGCTTACAGCCAACTCATTTAGCTGTGTTATCCATCCTTATTCACCCATTCCATGCAAGATGATGCAGAAGGCCAAAACTTATTATTTGATTCCTGCTAAGATCCTACTATACATTATTTCATGTTACTTTTTGCTTATTTAAATACATGCAAGACTTAATAGATACACTGAAATCTTTAATAACTGGTTTACTTTTACTAAAGGGTAACTACAATGTCCTATTATTCTGTAATGTGTGTTGTCTAACTTGTTATAGCAAACACCAATTCTTTAGTCATCATAAAATATAGTACTTGTAAAAGAACCCTGTTATAGCCAATATGCTTAATTTTTAAGCATCTACTATATACCTAAGGCTGTATTTAATTTCTCCAATGAGGAAATATTCAAGATTTGATCCTGAAGGATGAGCATGGTTGTCTATGCCAGCAGAAACTGAACTAGCCTAGATGTAGGAGATAACCTGGGTAACCCAGTCATGTGCTTTCAAAGTATTTTGCTCATTTTCTTGGAACTCTTGCCATGGTGACTGGATCTTATTTGTTTTATTTGTTCCCCTCACTATAGAGGAGACATAGAAATGAAACCTGGTCTTTCACTCTAAACTCTATGCTTGGCACTTGGTCTGACTTGCAGAGAACTGTTAGGAAAACGAGACTTAATACAGAGAAGATTGAGTGAGGGATAGCTACAGGGGAGAGCAGAGTATTTGTGACACTTGTCACCTTGTAGAAAAATGTATATACTGCCATGCTTCTCTCTTTTATAATATTCCGTTAGAATAGAACCTTTGCTCATTCACTGCTCTATCTGAAATGCTTAGAAGCTTTTTCACACAATAGGCATTCAAAACGTACCGCATGATGGAAGCATGAAAGGCATAGTTGGGCAAAGAGGGAATTTTGAACTCGTATTACCTGAAATCGCTACGTGAAATTATCTTGACTATATATGTGTTTACTAACGTACTGTCTCTCTTCATTTATTGTCATGTATTTCCAGGAGCAAAATCTGCAATGGGTGACTACTAATTGTGATAAGAAGACTATGAACCCCAAACAGACATCTATGAATCCTCAGTTCCCTGTTGTTTCTTGTGACTATGGTTCTTACTCACATGAGACTTTGATGAAGCCATGGGTGGAAGGAACACAGATACACTCTGATAAGGCTAGGAAATGTGAAGGATTAACTTGCCACAAGTATGTCCTCAAGGTTGGGACACCAGATGACAAGTTCATTTTAGCCCAGTGATACCCATATTTGACTTCTGAAGTAATACACTTGCTTTGTTCCAACTCACTGTGTTTGTGGTATTTCCTATGTCCAATAGAAAACAGCTATACTTCGGCAGTATCTCTTTAATGTATTAATTAATACTAAGATTTGTAGTGATGCTCCATGGAGTGAAGTAAGTATGTTGTAGTGATCAAAACATCCACATTGGAACCAGAAAAAAATGTGTTGGAGTTCCAACTCTGACACTTGGATAAGGCAAGTCATGATGGTTTGAACAAGAATGGCCCCTATGGCTCATATATTTGAATGGTTGGTACCCAGTTAGTAAAATTGTTGTGGAAACATTAGAAGGTGTGGTCTTGTTGGAGGCAATGTGTCAGTGGGCATAGCTGATGAAGGTTTCAAAAGCCCATGCCATT